TAGCAACATCATCACCTTTGAAGTTAAGACTTATAGTTGATGATTTTGCTAACACAATCAACAGGAGACTCAATACTGCGCTAGTCAGAACCTATCCGGCGGTCAAACTTCAAATTCTGTACAAAACAACATGTTCAATAACTCAATCAAAGGTTGATAAGCATCCTTTTCATGTTACCGCCAATTGTATTTATAAATTTACATGTACCTGCCAAAGCAGCTACATTGGTCGAACAGAAAGGAGGGCATATCTCAGATTTTTTGAACATGTTCCAAAAACCTCAGAACAAGAGAAAGAAAGACCCTAAGTAGTGCAATCACTAAACATCTCTTTGACACAGGCCATCAGGTTGACACCCTACAATCATTCAAGGTTATTAGTAAGCAGCCAAACTCCAGTCTTCTGAAGTTTGCTGAAGCAGTTGCTATCAGGCGCCAAAAACCTGATTTATATGTTCAAAAGGAGATGATTGTTAATCTTTCCCTGCCTTGGTGACAAATATTCTTCCGCTGCAGCTTAAACTTTTTTTTTATTTTTAATTTTATCTTTTATATTTATTACGTCATTGATTTTATTTTTCAACTATCTTTATAAAAAATCAATAATCTTTTAACTGAACTCTACTCACTGTATTCCTATCAATGTTTATTCATTATGTAATCAATTGTTTCTAACCCACATTTGAACTGTTGTCACAATTAGTGTTGTAGAATATTCTTTCACATTAGGTATATATTTACAATATTCAGCCTATTAATTTCATTTACACCCATGTCATACTTTACGAATATTTCTTCAATATAAACCCTCTCATGTAAGCAATTTAAACCCATTATGTAATTATTATCTTTTTAAATACTATAGGTTGTAAGCAGCTGACGAGAACCTACGAAATAAAATGAATTCATGTTATTCTGCTAGAATCTTTGTTCTTGCTCTTTTCAAAATGATAAAGGGAACTATGTGTATGAAACTTTATTAGTTATTTGTTTTCTTATCAATTTTAGGATATTTTAAACTTAATATTATTCGAATTCAAATACATTCTATATGAGATTCCATGTGAATGGAATATTCAATTAAGTGAAGGAAGTGATGAACAACGATGTCCTGTAAGTTGGTTAACTTATACCGAATTGAAAAAACGTAATTATTCAACAATTTTTAAACAACCAAAGCTCATTCATATTAATCATCTTATTAAACCAAATGATATATTACTGAATGAAATCCCAATTGAATACATTGATTACTTGGATATTATCCTTAAACGTAAGTAAACGTATAATTAAATACACAATCTTTGATAAACTTCATTTAATAGTTGAATTCCTGAGTCCATTAAAGCTAGACCACCATAGGAAAACTGAAAAAAATTTTAGGGACGTTACGTCGTACTGTTGAACTTTTCAGCAGTGCGTACTCACGAGCCTTCCCGTGGGAACTGAACCCATGACATCCAGTCTTGCGCACGAGCCTCTAACCTCTAAATCATCATGTAAAATACAGTTCGAACAATTGGATGACATCAAATAATAAAAGTATCAATTAATCTTGAAAGAAAAAGCTTGAAGAAACATAAAAAGTGAAGAGACCAATTCAATAGTTATATAAAGGACTCAATATATTTGAATAATGGTTAATGTATAAACACAAGATTCATGCATTTCAGTTTACAGTTTATGGACTCATGGTTTTACGTTAGCTGACTTAAGACGTCTTCCGAATCACTCCTATCTTGTCCAACCAAAAGAGTCCCATAACTGTACTACCTTCACTAAATATCGGCATCACTTCCACGGGCTTCTAGTGTATGATGGAGATGCTTTAAATACATCCGTCAATGACTATTGACGACCGACTTTCTACACAGATAGACTTAGTTTTACAAAGCATTCTACGGTTTACTTACGCTTTCATTGATAGACAAACACCTTACATGAGCCTTTCCTACCAACCAGAATCATGTTTACCCCCCTGGTTTACTATTTCGTCTATCAATCGTAACCGAAGCCTCGATCAGTTATACACCTCAAATGGTATGGTTTAGCTCGGGTTTAAGGCAGAGGAATCCTAACTCCCATTAATCAGGAATGTATTTCGTTTCCCTATCCTCTATTCTTCACTTCATTGACAAAACATAACAGTTAAGCTTCTGTTATTAAATCTCAAGGACTATCTATTTTAAACATCAATTAGTTCATATACCTGAATTATCAAATTGCAACGCACTCCACATATGAAGTCACACTTTACACACAATCATTCCATTATTTATCAGTATGGGGTTGTGGAGATTATTAAGATTTTGATTGGTATCATGAAACGATTGATGTTAGACCACCACTGAAAACGTGGAAGCACTGGACGGCCGTTTCATACTATCTTGGGACTCCTCAGCAGTGCGCAATTTCGTGGTTAGACATTACCACCATTGGGTACCGGCTCAGTGATCTAGAGGTTAAGTGTTCGCACGCAAGACCCCAAGCCCTGGATAAGAACCCCATGAGCGGGATTGTGGATGAGCAATGCTGATGAGCCCCACACAAGGACGAAAAGGTCATGCATTGAATCCAGGTTTACAATACTGGTCTAGTTTCAAATGACTCATGAATTCAATTTTAAATTACTAAAATCTCCACAAAACGGCTTTTGATAATAAGTCTATTTTTAGTTATATCTAATGTAATAGAAAAAACTGTATTTCTGATGTTTTAAAGGTAATAAATAACTGAATTAAATTAATACATTCATTTGTTATCGTTTACCTGAACCATCCCAATGATGTTTAGGACTACAATTGATCAGTCTCTTGTTGACATATGTACATGCTGTGAGTATTGGCCATATATTGCCTTAATTCACAAACATTATAAAGAGAGATAGGTAGCAGTAAAATCCAGGACGCACGTCCCATCCTATTTGAAACTCGCCATCTGGGCGGACCTACATCTCAGCTAACGGTACTGGGTTCGTGTCTCAGAGTGAACATCAACCTTGGGATGTAGGTACATCCAGTTAAAGTGTCCGAAATAGGATGAAGTACGCGTCCTAGTTCCTAATTCACTGAATTGTTCCAATGAACAATAAATGAAAAATACTGTTCAATTGAACCATACCTCGTCCGTTAGATATTCATGTTTTACCCATTTAAATGAATTATGTCTATACTTCGAAACAATACACCACAATATTGTGAAGCATTATTTTCACCTACCATGCTATCACTGACTATAATTACATAATCATGTTGATTTTCTACTGAATTGTAATTTTATTTGTAGAGTATGAACTATATGGCAAATTCGTGTCAGTATACCGTCAATATACTCAATTATATGAATCATGCTTCCAATAGATTCAATTCAAGAACCAATCAGTTTGATGTTGATCTTTCAATCATGTAGTTCATGGGCTATTCTTTGTCTTCAATCAACAGAATCTATTATCTTTTATTTTTGTATTTATATAAATACACTTGAAATAAATGTGGTTAATGATAACATGAGGATATTCTAAGACTATTTCTATCGAATTGTGTGTATCTACTGAATTGATGAAATATGATCGTTGAATAAGATGATTATGGAAAGAAGGTTAAGCTTACTGAATAAGAACATGATGAAAGAAAATAAGATTTTGTCATTAGTTGAACAATCAACTGAATAGAATTTATCACTATGCATCAATTTCCTTGATAATGAAAAAGAATGTAGTATTATGGATAGAAGAACTAATGAAACGTTCTTCGACATTATTATGTAAACGTAGAAAATGACTGCAACATACGAAATCCATGCGATGGATAACACTGAAATGTCGTATATGGAGGAAGGCTGACAGACGCATTTCAAGTGAGGATCAGAGTCAGACAAGGCTGTGTATTCTCGTCATTCCTCTCTTTTATCTGGTGGTTGACTAGATTACGAAGACATCGATATCTCAAGGAATGCACGTAATAAAATCGACAAATCGGAATCAATTACAAGATTTGGACTTGGCAGATGACCTGGCCTTTCTATCCCATACACATCAACAAATGAAGGTTAAAACAAATAGTGTAGCTGCAGCCTCTCAATCAGTAGGACTCAACATACACAAGGGTAAAAGCAATATCTTCAGATACAACACAAAGAACACCAACGTAATCACACTTGATGAAGAAACTCTGGAAGGGGTGGAAACATTCACGTATCTGGGTAGCGTCATCGATGAACAAAGAGGATCTGATGCAGACTTACGGGCGAGGATTGGCAAAGCAGGAGCAGCATCCCTACAGTCGAAGAACACATGAAAGTCAAAACAACTGTCAACCAACAGCAAAGTGAGAACCTTCAATACGAACATCAAGATAGTTCTACTGTACGGAGCTGAAGCTTCCAGAACTACCACAACCATCATCAAAATGGTACAAGCATTAATAAACAGCAGTCTATATAAGATGATCAATGTCGTTGGCTGGATACCATCAGCAACAGTATATTGTGGGAGAGGACAAACCAGCTTCCAGCTGAAGAGGAAACTAGGAAGAGTCACTGGAAGTGGATACGACACACATTGAGGAAATCATCAAACGGCGTCACAAGGCAAGAGCTTACTTGGAATCCTGAAGGGAAACGGAAAAGAGGAAGGTCAAAGAACGCACTAAGTCGAAAGTTGGAATCACAAATCAGAAGGATCAATAGCAGCTGGAAAAGATTGCTCATGACAGAGTTGGATAGAGAATGATGGTGGGAGGCCTATCCTCCTTTATGAGGGGTAACATGCGTAAGTTGAATATGATGTAAATTATCCATTTATTTTTGACTTCAGTCAGCTTCAGTTAGGTTAGCATTATTTGAAGCTGCATCTCTGTCATTGAGTTGCTCGTAATCCAGTTATCAGACTATGCAATCAAAACAAGGCATTCAACAAGATGTAAGCATTAGAACACCATAAGTGCTTCATGGTCAGGTCTAAACAAACATTTTAAAACAGGTACATTAATAATCAAGCTTACTTCGGATCTTTAAACGGTATCTTGATAGCTCGCGATCCCAAATCTGGTAAGATGACCATACTGAAACAGGATAGATTATACATTAACTTCACGTTCATTGTTGATCCGTCAAGTTTGAAGAAATCGCTGTCATGTGAATCCTCCTTACGGAAATGTGGACCCCATAAACCTGTCAAAGGTAATCACACATAGAGTTGACAGCAGATATAAAACACAGTAGTAAAAAAATAAAAACTCAGGTAATAAATGTTTGATTTGAATATACTATTGTTGACGACTAAATAAATAATACTACCTTTAAAGTATGTAGTGGATAGCACAACAGCTGACGTTTCTTGCGATATAGCCACACGTGGGATCAGTTCCTGGATTGTTCCGTTGGTCTGTTCACTAACCCACTGATTAATTCGATTTCGAGCACATTCAGGATCTCTATGAAACGCAACCTACACAAAGTTTGATAAGGCAGAACTCATACTCACATGCTCAGTCAGTGCATTGTAATACTGCTTGATGATATTTCTAAATCGTTTCTCAATCTGCACATCTTCATTTACATAGATTCTATTTCCAGTGATTATCTCAACACTCTCATCAGACTTCGAAAGATCAGCCAGAAGTTCACCAATCGCGCTGTGGATTATTTCCTGTTCCAAGCAATCAGATAACTGCATCGCTTTTATCAACTCAGCATTCGTATTGTTTGCACTTCCACAGAGGATCATTCCGAGGGCAGTATAGATATTGAAAGGGGAGAGAAATGTATTCTCCAAATAACCTGGAAGCAACAAATACATCGTGAGGGACGCACTTACCCTTGTTTCTTTTCAAAATCTCCCTATAAAGCTTTTCGCTGAAGTTTCCAAGTGATTGTATTACATCCATCACGGTTGAAATTAGTGTGCTAAATGGTTAGCTTGAAAAAACTATTTGTAGTGGAAGAACACTACAAATGGTACGTAAATAAGTCATTATTAAGAACTGCGAAGTGATAATAGGATATTATAATATAGTAAGACGTTTTTGATCATGCAGATGCTTTAACTGGTTCAGGTAAATGCGATTTCCTTCATGAACATGGTAGCTTGGTGATTTCGACCTTTCTTTTAGTCTTATTCCGGAATACACTTCAACCGAAAGCATTAATTGTTTCATCATATTAAAGACTTAGTAAAAGTCTTTGTTTGCACTCTTTGTACTGTAGCTGATATGGTACATCTCATATTTCGCTCTCAAAATGCAGCGAAGTTGAAACTTAAAGGAACTAGTTGTATTAAGCCGTCTCAAACACTCTGACCAGTGATTATACCAAAATATGTCTAACTGTTTATAAAAATCAAAAATGCTTTGGTCAACTATGTCGTTACTTTCGATTTATTGGAACAGTTGTTACGGTTTCATCTCTTTGCCAACGGTAATTTCTTAATGAGTCCTACCAATTAATATTCATCGCATGTTCATCCAAAAATCATTACAATATTTAACAAAGAAGCGAAAAATTACGCTCCATAGTCTCGATTTTGAATGATGAAATAATTTGTCACAAACAAATTAAATCAAACAGTCAGTGATCTGAGGAATTACTAGAAGAAATAGGAGTTTCCTCAGCTTAGTAATGAAGTGCAAAGCAAGGTCAACATAATTCACAGTTTTAAATTTCCTCCACTTGAAGGTCAGTCTACAGTAATAAGAATAGTAGAATGGTGGGCCTGTGTTAATTCTAACATTGTGCCTTCCAGTGAAGATTCAGCTTCTCCTTAGAAATTTTCACTGATAAGGCTGATACCACTTGTTCGGGTAAAGTGTTACAGTCATTGACCACTCGATGAGAAGAACGGAACCTCACTTTAAGTTTATTAGGTCTCTGTTTGTGAATCTCTCTGTTATGACGTCGAAGATTATTATTGTTAGAAGGAGCAAAAAATAAGACATATTTACACCCAAATCGTAATCAATTATACGAAGTGCCAATATAATGTCACCTCGCGTCCTACTATACGACAAGTTGGAGATGTTTACGAGTATTAAGCGCCCGTCATATGGAAAGTTTAGAAAGACCCTTGACTCACTACGTTCCCACACGCCTAACACGCTGAAGTGAGTGACCATCGTTGGTCGGACATGGGACAGCTGCTTGAATACAGCATTCTAAGTGTGGTCATACATAGATGGGATATAAAATTCGAAACATCCCATCAACCACTATCATGCGCCTCCCACATGATTGATTGTACACAAAAGTGGTCCCTTACATACTACATTATGTCTCCTCACTTGGCGTTTATAACCCTATCACCCATCATAAAGATGTAGCCTGCAGTGATAGGAGAACAGTTAATTTCAACGATGAGCCAAGTTTTATTTGAATATTAATTGAGATTTTTTAAAAGGATGATCATGCCTGTTAGGCAGGTGGCTGTTATAAATTAGGTAGAAAAGTCCACTGTGGGTATGTAATAACTGATACATGACCTACAGAATCTGCTTCCCATGTCTTAAATGATATCGTAATCTCATTATAATACACTGTACAAATAGACTTGCCGAGATAAATAAAAACCACGCGATAAAATGTTGCCACTTCCAAAATTTCCGCCGATCACGGTTTACCCAAGTTTTGTGATTTTTGCTGATTGTGCTAAATCGCATGACGTACAGTTCAGTTTCATTCGTGCCTTCAGGCTGTAAAAGAGGTATGAAGATCGGCTTTCACCACCTAATGTTAGCCATGTATACCCGTCATTCATAGAAACATCATGTTTTAGAGACGATTTGCACATGTTGCTCAATTTGTACCGCCTATTCAGAGAACTCGATGCAACTACACGAAGTACTTTATTTACTTGCAGAACAGAAGCCTATCAAACTGCCAGAGTGTTCATTGTTTGACAGTGCCCTTATTTTCTGCTAACAGATGCAGTGAAAATTTGGAATGGATTGAGTCTTATTTCTCGACATCAGGGCGAAACTAATAGTCACCTAGCTGATAAACAGATATTTGTTTTTGCAAAAGTGTATGTAGGTAGTTCGCCTAGTTTCAACAGTCCCTCTAACTCTTAGATTTTTGCGGTTAAGTGAAGAAAGCTCGTGTAAGACCGAGGCCAACGTCTTCAATTGCTGTCATCTTAATGGTGGACAGACAATAAAGTCATTTTACGCACTTGACTGCCTGGTAAATGAATTAAACTGAAGCTTCTACATAAGGCCGCTCGTAATTCTTAGTTGAATTTCTCCGGTATGGTTCTTTGTTTATTTTGGCGCTTCCACTAATAACTGAAGCAAACACGTAAACAATTAACATATCGCATGCTCGTCTCTCGTTGGAACAAAGGACATTTGGACACATTTTCCTTAGTGGCTGGGCTCACTGTCGCTTTGATAAAGCAATACCTAGGTAACATTACAGTTACAGTTACATTACAGTCTCCATCGTTTGTTATTCTGACACATTTGTCCATACTATTGCAAAACGCACCGGCCGAACTCGTAAAGTAGAAACATAAGACCTCATCGGAATTGACCGTATAAAATCTCACACGTATATCAAGACCTTTGAGCGCAGGCATTGCTAAACATGAAATTATGAAGAGCAACAATGTTTAGTTATAGACTAATGAAATCAGTAACCGTCGCTAATACCCAAGCAACTGCCTGATAATCTTGTAAAGCGGTGCTAATAGAAATAGTACCTGAGTCAGTTAAAGCATCTGCATGATCAAAAACGTCTTACTATATTATAATATCCTATTATCACTTCGCAGTTCTTAATAATGACTTATTTACGTACCATTTGTAGTGTTCTTCCACTACAAATAGTTTTTTCAAGCTAACCATTTAGCACACTAATTTCAACCGTGATGGATGTAATACAATCACTTGGAAACTTCAGCGAAAAGCTTTATAGGGAGATTTTGAAAAGAAACAAGGGTAAGTGCGTCCCTCACGATGTATTTGTTGCTTCCAGGTTATTTGGAGAATACATTTCTCTCCCCTTTCAATATCTATACTGCCCTCGGAATGATCCTCTGTGGAAGTGCAAACAATACGAATGCTGAGTTGATAAAAGCGATGCAGTTATCTGATTGCTTGGAACAGGAAATAATCCACAGCGCGATTGGTGAACTTCTGGCTGATCTTTCGAAGTCTGATGAGAGTGTTGAGATAATCACTGGAAATAGAATCTATGTAAATGAAGATGTGCAGATTGAGAAACGATTTAGAAATATCATCAAGCAGTATTACAATGCACTGACTGAGCATGTGAGTATGAGTTCTGCCTTATCAAACTTTGTGTAGGTTGCGTTTCATAGAGATCCTGAATGTGCTCGAAATCGAATTAATCAGTGGGTTAGTGAACAGACCAACGGAACAATCCAGGAACTGATCCCACGTGTGGCTATATCGCAAGAAACGTCAGCTGTTGTGCTATCCACTACATACTTTAAAGGTAGTATTATTTATTTAGTCGTCAACAATAGTATATTCAAATCAAACATTTATTACCTGAGTTTTTATTTTTTTACTACTGTGTTTTATATCTGCTGTCAACTCTATGTGTGATTACCTTTGACAGGTTTATGGGGTCCACATTTCCGTAAGGAGGATTCACATGACAGCGATTTCTTCAAACTTGACGGATCAACAATGAACGTGAAGTTAATGTATAATCTATCCTGTTTCAGTATGGTCATCTTACCAGATTTGGGATCGCGAGCTATCAAGATACCGTTTAAAGATCCGAAGTAAGCTTGATTATTAATGTACCTGTTTTAAAATGTTTGTTTAGACCTGACCATGAAGCACTTATGGTGTTCTAATGCTTACATCTTGTTGAATGCCTTGTTTTGATTGCATAGTCTGATAACTGGATCACGAGCAACTCAATGACAGAGATGCAGCTTCAAATAATGCTAACCTAACTGAAGCTGACTGAAGTCAAAAATAAATGGATAATTTACATCATATTCAACTTACGCATGTTACCCCTCATAAAGGAGGATAGGCCTCCCACCATCATTCTCTATCCAACTCTGTCATGAGCAATCTTTTCCAGCTGCTATTGATCCTTCTGATTTGTGATTCCAACTTTCGACTTAGTGCGTTCTTTGACCTTCCTCTTTTCCGTTTCCCTTCAGGATTCCAAGTAAGCTCTTGCCTTGTGACGCCGTTTGATGATTTCCTCAATGTGTGTCGTATCCACTTCCAGTGACTCTTCCTAGTTTCCTCTTCAGCTGGAAGCTGGTTTGTCCTCTCCCACAATATACTGTTGCTGATGGTATCCAGCCAACGACATTGATCATCTTATATAGACTGCTGTTTATTAATGCTTGTACCATTTTGATGATGGTTGTGGTAGTTCTGGAAGCTTCAGCTCCGTACAGTAGAACTATCTTGATGTTCGTATTGAAGGTTCTCACTTTGCTGTTGGTTGACAGTTGTTTTGACTTTCATGTGTTCTTCGACTGTAGGGATGCTGCTCCTGCTTTGCCAATCCTCGCCCGTAAGTCTGCATCAGATCCTCTTTGTTCATCGATGACGCTACCCAGATACGTGAATGTTTCCACCCCTTCCAGAGTTTCTTCATCAAGTGTGATTACGTTGGTGTTCTTTGTGTTGTATCTGAAGATATTGCTTTTACCCTTGTGTATGTTGAGTCCTACTGATTGAGAGGCTGCAGCTACACTATTTGTTTTAACCTTCATTTGTTGATGTGTATGGGATAGAAAGGCCAGGTCATCTGCCAAGTCCAAATCTTGTAATTGATTCCGATTTGTCGATTTTATTCCGTGCATCCCTTCAGTGTCTCTCCTGTATTCAGCCTTTTCTGTCCAGCTTGGGTCTAATGGGTTTCGACTATTCTGAGCACTGTTATGTTTTATCTCCCTATTTCCGTTGCTATTTGACTGATCCTCCTGGTCCCTCAAATTGTTCGAACATTCCATGTACCAATCAAAATTGTTTTGGTTGTTAGAAGGGGCATTGGCCTTGTGACTTGCGAAAAATCCCGGTTTTCACTATGATGCGTCATAAACCTTCCTTCAACTCGGAAGTCAGAATTTAAATGGTTTAATTTAATTATTCTGGTTAGCGTTTTTTAAGCAAGGTTGTTGAAGCCATTCCCAACCCGCCTGATTTACCCTGGCTTGGGACCGGCAGTAGCCCTAGAATAGCTACATGCGGAGTTTCACAGTAGGATAAATTGTCTAAAATGAATACACATACATATCTGAACATATTACATTGTTTGCTGAACTGTGTTTCTTTGTTTTCAAATTATTGTTGATCTAGATATGTGTTATTGATTGTTCTTCCAAACTCAAACGATGGATTGCCAGACTTACTGAATTTGATGTGTGAATATGGTGGCATTTCTTCGATACTCTCCCGTAGGTTTGAAGACACGTCATTGAATTTATATCTGCCTAAATTTAAGCTCAAAGAAGGCTATTCATTTAGTTTAAAAGATCATATAGAAGAATTGGGAATAAAGGACTCATTCAGACCACTATCAGCTGACTTTTCGAACATTTCCGTCTCGAGGGAATTATGTGTAACGGATGTTTTACACAAGTCTATACTCGAATTAAGTCGAACAACTGAAGCGATTATTCGTTTTTTCACTTAAGCATGAACTTTCGTAGTTCTGTGTAAACGTGAGTCACATAGAGTAATTGGTGGATGCTAACAGTCAAAAATATCTTGATTCGCAGTTGAGAGCTTGTTTAGATACGTATCATCATCATCATCATCCTCAGGCTTTTAAGATTTATGAATTAATGAAACTCAAGCATGGTTTTGACACTTCGACTTTGGTTCTTGTTATCTTGAGAGCTATTCAAATTAAATTATGAGATAAATTTTGAAAGTTGATGGTGTTGTTTTGTATCCGGTGTTTCCTTGGGGTTCTTTGACGGAAAGGCCTTTAAACATGTGTCCTCTTCTACGGAGATAGTATTTATTAATAGCTATTTTAGTTCATGTTTAAGCAATAGTGTTCCATTCTGTCCTTGGAATTTGGACTGTGTACATCAAAATGACTTTGTCGGAGGTCAAACAAATAACTAGTGGAAATAATTAAAACATGTAATCAATGAGCTGAAATTAGCCTTTCTTGAAGTGCTACATTATTTTTTGCCAAGAATTTCATACTCGATCAAACATAAAGTATTGAATAAAACAACTTCTGTCTGAGTGTAACATGCGTCAGTTTACTTTCAGTTTGATTTTTGTTGACTTCTTTTATCATTCTGTACAGATTGATGAGGAAGGTGTCGTAGCTGCTGCATCCATTTTGTGTATATTCGCTGGATGTGCACTTAATTCTTCCAAACCTGTGGTAGAATTTCGTGTTGATCATTCATTCTTCGTTTCGATTATCTGGAATAATACTCTACCAAAATTTCTTGGACATGTTACGACTCCAGTGAATGACTAGTGTGGTATGATATACGAAGAAACCTTCCAGAACAATGATTTTTGTGCTTACTAAATTATATCAAACTGCATATTTTGAACTTCACTATTCCTTGACTAATAAATAAAAAATAATTTTAAAAAACGGTGATAATTTTATCTATACACCGTCACAAGTGCTCTCTATATTTAATCAGTGTTCTGACAAACGTATTCTTATGTGTATTTCTTTAAACATACTTTTGCATTATCTTCGGCTAACTGTGAAACACTAGGTTGAAATGCTAGTTGTCGTAGCGAATATGCTGTATGATCTTTGCTTCTATTTGATGGCTTATTGGTGTAAGTTACTTAGCTGTTTCGACGTCGTCAGGTTCTGCCTGAATGATTTTACAGTGATGTTAGCTGCAACGACGGCGGCATAGACATTTAACTGAAGTTTGTAATCAAGAAAGCAATGTGTGTAGTATTTTTAAGTGTTAGTCACAAAACGCCAAAGCAAAACGTGGTATCAGTGCTTGAAGTCACTAACTTCTAATCTGAGCCATGTTGGTAGATACAGACTACTTGATTGTGTTCCGCGTGACTATCGTGACCAATGGTCGGAGACAGTGTGACTTGGCTCAGAACCGATCACAATGGCGTAGGTGTATACACTTTCTGCCTTCACTTAAACCTTGAGATTACTTACTTTCTATGAACTAATTCCTTCATCCCGCATCATATCCTTATATACAATCGTTTTTTATATATTACTACCAGTGAAGTAACTAATTCTATGAATTCGGTGTTAATTTTGTTGTGCTATTGAGGTGTGGCAACTTGTACCGATGCATATATGTGCCTGGTCCTACGTTGTAGCTGACTGACTGACATAATTTCACTTCAAAACTGTGTAACCATTGTCATTTGCATCAAATAGTTGTGGATTAGTGTAAATGTGAGATAGTTTGTCGTTATTGTAATGATTTTGAGGTGTTAGCAATCACAAAACTACTCTTAACAAATCGTGACAATCTGCTTGATGGAGATGTTTGTCAGGAGGTTTTTTCAATTCAGTACAATCTACATATTCAACATACAAAAATATGGTTCGTTTAGATGATTTATTAATTTACCAATGAGCATTTCAACATTCATCGTCTCATAATATACATTGTACAGGGTTAATATTTCCTGCAATCGCTTCTCCTCACATCGAAACGACATAACTATAGTTTTGCTTGATAGAGTTTATGTTTAAGAATCTAAGTATCAGCTAAGTTAGACAATTGTGATACAGCTGATGATGCCACAGGTATTTGTGGTTTGACAACATTTTTACCAGTAATACCTTCTGTAATTGAATCGTGTTCACCCAGTGAAATCAATAGTCTGAAGCTAGGAGATTCGAAGATAAATTAGATAGCTTGTCAATATATGGAGAAGGGACTGATCAACACTGGCTAGCGGTTGCAGGAGAAGTTGAGCATAGCGTTCCCACTCGTGATGTGGTGCGGATGTGTGACCGAACACCTTCAGCTTGGTGAGTCCATTAAAACTAATGTTGTCAGCATCAAATGTCGAAGACTTACAGAGCTATTGAACTTGGGGATCTATTTACCGCTACACAGCTGTCTAAATTATCAAGAATTCTTTGACCATTGCTCGAATATCATGGAAATGAGGTACAATATTGGTGTGCTACAGTTCTTCAAAATCCAATTGCTCATTTTTAATGTTATGTGATAGTATCCAGTAATCATTGTATTTACATTTTAACGACAGGACAGTAATGTTCACCCTTATTTATATAAATTATCACAATTAATTTATATAAAATTAATACAACACAATAGTGAATTAGTTTATTTATGTGTTAGAGCAATATTTTGGCATCTGGTCAATATGACAATCATAAAGTTCAATAGTAACGAACAGTCAATTCTATTTCCATAATTAATCGATTGTACTTTACAGAAGAATGTGACCCCAAATGTGTCATGCATGAACTTGTATACTGTTGAAGCCAATTTTCATAAAGAATAGATAAAATAGTGTGATTTTGAATGACTGAGTTGTATGGATTCTACTTCCATTTTGTCCAACGTTCCTACTTTATGATTAGTCATGTTAGTTACTGTTTTATAAGAAAGTTTATTTGTTCTTAAAACAACGTTGTCTTAAATGTAAAATGAATACGAACTGATGAAAAATGGATTGTAGGGGAGAGGTTTATAAGGGTTTGTTGAACGCTGTTGCTGGATATAGATGTAATTGACTCCACTGATAAAATATAAATCTTGATTCTCTTTTTATACATCCTGATAGTATTCCATTGACCAAGTGGCAATGTGGACTCTAAAAATCTAGTGACTTGACATCGCGTAAACTAAGTTCAAATGTAAGGTGATAGTTGGAGATTGTTGACTGGATACTGGTGTTCAAGATTTTGTGCAATTTGGCACTGATCAGAAGAGTATAATTGTAACCAATATCGAGTATATCAAGTCCTTCTCACTACTGGTTTAACATAGTAGCAACAAGCCTACTTTCATTATACAGATGGTTTATTTCATTGAGTAAACTACTGCATATGTGTATGAATAAAATCAGTCAACCAGCAAACCAATTTTGCGCATGAACACTCAGCAAAACTTGCCAAAATAATGCCAAAGCATCCACAATATCAATGGCGAACCTCCAGTCTCATATGAGAACTTCCGCTCTACATAGCACTACTTCTTATACTGCATACAAGACATATGTAGGGTAGTAAACAAAATAGCTCAGGCTGAAGCGTTAGGGCTTAAAGAACTCTCAAAACCATTCACTGTCTTGTGTCGGAATACTATTACTAGACCATCAAGATCATTTTCATCGCATATGCGTAGAAATTGATGGAAATACAACTACCTACTGAATATTATTAAGTAGTATAAACAATATGCAAAATAATTGAAGGTTGTCGAGTAATGACAGAGAACGTAATACAGACTTAACACGGTGAATCACGGTTAAAGCGTTTGAATGCAATAAAGATAGAAAGAAACACTAAAAGTCAGAATCTTAAATCATTTTATATGATCACGTGTAGTATGTTTCCCTCAAATATAATGATAGATTTCAGAATGATCACTTTGAGAGGCTTGTAAAATGTAGTTGCATTCTACCCGTAAGGAAGTATGTTCAAATAATGATAAGAGTCTGTAGGGACAACTGGAATGCATACCTTTCTTCAGACTGTGTGAAAATGAGGAATGTACAATTTGAGGAGTCGCTCACATCCCTTAACATAATATAAGCTTACCCATTACACAATAACTTTAAATGAGTTTTATGAATACATATTGTATTTGGTGTTTATATTTTAAAACAGATGAATTACTGTACATGAAATTGATGAGTTTAAAGCTCTCTGTTTTCTGTTTAGTTAAGTATGGTAATACATAATAATAAAAGTCTCCTTGTTCTCATGAGGAAGCACTAATTATACTAGAACCAACTTTCTAATGGTGAGATTGTATATACCTTAGAAACGCGTGTTTGGTAGAAATTTGCAAATTAGTATCTTCATATACGTATTGACAATCATTAAAATTGGTTATAATGAATATGTAAGAAGTTTGAACCTACCTGTTCACCAGTGATTAAGTAACCTTGACGTTTAATAGCTCTTCTAGTTATGCTCAACCATAGATGATTCCAATTGGTTGATCGTAATTTAGACAAATGAAGTAACAGAGCACCGTTATTATATCCGTAACCCTAAAATAAACATTATGCATACGACCCATCATACTTTGCACAGACGAAATAAAATTGATTGTACAGAAGTTGATGATCTGTGTATGCAGCTATGGAATTAGCCTAATGGCATTCAGTATAAGAGCTATTTAGAACGTTTGATTATGTATTATAACAGTCCCTTAATAATCTAAACTAGGAGGTGACTACGCATCTCACTGAGATAATCATAATTCCTCAAGATTTTGCATATACCTTCCAGTTTACAAGTACTGAATTACACAAAACTCGTTTCCAAGATATTTTTGTCAATCAAAGTTTAATAGGCTAGTAAGTACATTTCAACTTGATGGACACAATTCAAACGTCACTACAAAGCAAACAAGGTATTCACAAATTCTGAAATAAATTATCTACATCCATGACTGCAATCTGATATAAATAAGGGAGAAGTATTTAGCTTTAAATGATTATCGCTTGATAAAAAGCAGGTAGTGCGAGAATATAATTTATCGGCGAACCAATGAAATTGAGAATAGCATGTCTTGAATTTTCGCGCGAAATCAATTCATCTACATAGTTAAATAACATTTTAGCATTATTGCTGATGGCAGTTCGTGATGAAAATCCTCATTTTCATTCTTAAGCCTAAATTCTAACTCGACATCCTAATCGTAACACCTCACACTAATTTATAACCTCATTTTGACACTTTGAAGTAGGTGAGGTAACTCGGTCTGTAGCTCTTCTAGAGTTAGTGCTGGTTCCAAGCCCGGGTAAAAGTAGAGGGTTGGGTATAAGGTCAGACACCCGATCCCGTAGAAAAATTCTCGTTAAAAGAACGCCAACCACATTAAACCAGTAGGTGAGCTGTCTCTAGTTCAATTCAGAGTCCCTCACAGTTCGTCCAATAATTATAGTCTCAGTGCAATTGTTCTTAAAAAGGACAGTGATATACAAAGTGTAAATCATTGCAAATGTAATGATGTATGAAAATGTTGAAACTTACTTTCCAATTGCTTTCTAACCTGGTCATAACTTCTTGAAAATATGGATTTTGTTCTAATCCAATACCTATGCTCTTTGAAAAATACAAAGACATGAAAATTTGTAAGTCGTCAGAAGTATAAATTTAAAA